TTCTCCTCCATTCTCCTCTCGGGATCCTGGGCACGCACACACACGCGCCCAGCATGAGTTTAAGCCTCCAGGTCCGGGACTCAAACCGCAGTTGCCCACGTGGGAGTCTAGCAACATAGCCATTACGCTAACTGCTGGTCCCCCACTTGATTTCAATAAGTGCTACAGAACATGGAGTGCAGAGAGGAGAGAAATTTTTTGGCAGAAAGTGCTACTGGGACACTATCTAGAAGAGAGAAGAGAGAGAATATAGGAAGAAGAGAAAAATAGAATTCCCTCTCAGAACAAGAAGTGGCACAGTAATGTACATACTTTAGGAACATTAAAATTGTCTTCTCGGGTACCAGCAGTTAGTGTAATGGCTATGTCACTGGACTCCCACATAGTCGACCGCGGTTCGCGTCCGGGGACCCGGTGGCTTAAAACCCACGCTGGGTGTGTGTGCGTGCGTGCCCAAGATCCCGAGAGGATAATGGAGGAGAAGGGATTGCAGTGTGGTCATCCCCTCTGGGGGGTGATTTCTCGCTTTCTCTCTCTGTCTCTCTCTGTCTGTCTGGCGAGCACATGCGCTCTATAGTGAAAAACCTCTCAAAAAAAAAATTATCCTCTCTATGTATTTCTAGAGAGAAACAGGATGGTGAATACAGAGACTTCCAGATGTTACTAGCAGCCACAAGTGGAATTCATGGAAGTCATACTTCAATACATCAGCATGTAAGCATCACGTAGACCCTCATGGAGGCCCATATACATACGAATAAGAACAAACAAAAAATTTTAGTAGAACAATATGGATAGGCCTGCCAGGTAAGTTTTTCTGCTCACTTTATAACTTTCCTTACTTTGGCAGCTGTTTGTCTCAACACTTATTCTACCAGCTGCCTATTAAAAATGAAGAGCCTTTTATATTTACTTCTTTATTTATAATTTTCCTTTTATTTTTTCTTAATAGAGAACATACTCACCCACCTGAGCAGAAAATAGAGAGTAAAGGAAAGAAAGAGAGAGGCTAGCACAATTCATATCTGGCTATGCTGTGATCCCCTGTTCTAGCCCATCATATCCTGGGCACTTGTGCATGCCTGGCGTGCCTCAGGCTGACTGGGCTGGGGATGAAAACCCTAGTTGCCATATGGGCTCCAGCTTGTCTCGAGTAGCATATTACCACTGTGACATGAAGCCAGATACCCTTCAATTTACTCTTAAGTGGTACGCACACTGAGGCTCACATAGAGTAAGCTATTTCTTAGTGTATTAGCATTTAACAGTATTTCTGACACATCAGAGGATCTCTGGAAGTCTTTGTGATTGAAGGGTACAAGCTCTTCTACTCTGCCTCTTTCCTCTCCTTATCTCTGTTTTCCCACTATTACCCAGCAGAGAGGATCCCCTACTGCTTGACTTCTGTGACTCACTTTCTTTCCATCTCCATCTACCATCTAAGTAGATCCATGTGATTGTCATAGACTCAGATACTATGTATCAGAGGAACATTCCGCTTGGCAAAGTCAGTTACTCTGGGCGAAAATACAGAAATTATAACCCTCATCAGAATGAAGCATTCTATTTTAACAATTAGGTGGTAGAAATGATGACAGAAAAGGCTGAAACAAATTAGAAATTCTCACCACTGTGTCTTTAATCTCTCTGCCATTTCAGCCAACTCAGAGATCCATCTGACTCTGACCATGAAGACACATTTCATGAATAGGACAAGTGAGTGAGGAGGGCTTCCCACATTGTTAGGGTGAAGCTCAGGAACATCTTCAGACAACTCTATGAGTGTGTGAGGTCCAAACTGTGCTCATACCACTCCTGGAGTCAGATGTTTATAGACCCAAGAGGCTGACTCCTCCACCTCTCTTTGTAACATTTCTTTATGCCTCCTCTATTGTCTTTATTTTTTGTTCTCTCCATTTGCATTCATCAAGTAGTTTATTTCCCTTTTTAAATTATTATTATTTATACATTTAATCACTATACATCATTTAGACCATACAGAGACTTTACCCAGCATTATATATATCTCAGTTCTGAGACTTTACCCAGCATTATATATACCTCAGTTCCGCCCAGTTGAGAATACTGTACATGTCCTCATCAACAGATCAACAGATAATAAACCTTTTCTGTTTTTTCTTTTTTTGCTATAAAATTTTAATAAACCTTTTCTTGATATACTTTTCTGTTTGGACGAGATTTCTTTCCCCTTTTATTGGCTTTTCTTTTCCTCCCTTTCATTTTCTTTCTTTCTCAATTTATTTTACTTCTCTTTATATCTTATCCTCCTTTATCATTTTTCTCATTCAAAATTATGTATATTTTTTCATTCTAACGTGTTTTCACTCTCCACTTTTCCTCTATGTTCAATGCTACTCCATGATACCCCATGTCCATCTTGCAAAAACATCTAAAAACGAGAACACAACACTTCATTGCTGGTTCCTTTTCCCACAAGAATGAGAAATATTTAGACTAAAAAATAACATTCCAAATATCTAGACTACAAAATAACAATGTGTAAGTCATTCTTTAGTACTAATCACTTACTTTTAAATGATACTCTTCTTGCAATTTACTAAAATCTGATCCATTCCTTAGTTATTTCTCACTTCACTACATATATTTTTT